ATGTTTTGAAGTTAATCACTTCTAGGCCTTCTGGTTAAAATGAAGTGTAATATATTTTGAAGTTAGCACTACTTTGTAACTGCTTATTTATCTATATATAAGACATGATCAAAACTACAGTGAACATTTAAACATTTTTTTAAAAAATGATTACAGTAAAAGGCATATTCCACCACTTTCCCTCAAAACACGCCCCCTCAAAAAAAAAGAATCCAGATATATCATATATAGGTACAAATTCCCTACGATGAATATAATCATTATGTATACCTAGAATGTACCAATAAACTTAATTTTAAACAATACTCCCTCTCATTTCAGACACATTTATCCCATCATTCTTGCTACTTTCTGAAGCAGTTCTAGAAGTCGTCTCACATGAGTATCTTTAGTTGTACTATCCTAGCTGCCTTGATGTCCTGAATCGATTCAAAACATTTACCTTTTATGGTCACTTTGATTTTGGGGAAGAGCCAGAAGTTGTGTAGAGCCAGATCCTGTGAGTAAGGTGGATGGGGCCAAATCGTGTTTTTAGCAGCCTGCCTTTTCATTGAGAGGCATTGGCACTCAGCAGCAGCATTCCTTGAATTTTTTATCACACTCAAAAAAAACCAAAAAACAAAAAAAAAAAAAAACGCTTGAGCCGGATGTGATGGCACATGCCTATAATCCCAGCACTGGGGAGCCTGAGGCAGGAGGATCACGAGTTCAAGGCCAGCCTGGCTACACAGTGAGATCAAAGCTAGCAAGTCCCTGTCTCAAAAAAGAGAGAATCAGGACTATGAACTCAGGCTGAGCAGAAAAGCTTTAGCCAGGGTGATGGTGCACACCAGTAATCCCAGTACTCCGGGAGGCTGAGGCAGGTAGATTTCCAAATTCGAGCCTCACCTAGGCCATTTACCAACTTAACCCCTTTCTCAAAAAATAAAAAAGGGGATGGGGATGGGGTTGGGGATTTAACTCAGTGCAAACGTCCTGGGTTCAATCTCCAGCACTACCAAAATAAAAAAGTAAGGCCGGGCATGGTGGCACATGCCTGTAATCCCAGCACTCAGGAGCTGAGGCAGGAGGATCATTGTAAATTCGAGACCAGCCTGGGCTACAAAGTGAGCTCAAGGCCAGCCTGAACTGCATAGGGAGACCCTGTCTCAAAAAAGACTAGAAAAAAAAAAAATTCCAATGTTCATCATAGGGAATCTGTAACCTCACATGATATATTTTGATTCCTTTTTTTCCCAATCCCCTCTCCTCCCTTCAACTCATCTTCCCCTCCCTATTTACAAAGCTTTGTTTCCATTTTATCCTTTTTTTAAATCATTCTTCCCCTGGGTGTGGTGTAATCCCAGCACTTGGGAGGCTTGAGGAAAGATTGTTGCAAATTCAAGGCCAGCATGGGCTACAAAGTGACCTCAAGGCCAGGCTGAAACTGCATAGCGACACCCTGTTTCAAAAAAAGACAAAGAAAAAAAGATAAAACGTTTCTGCGATGACTGTGATCATTATATATATCTAAAATGTACCAATGGAAAAAAAAAAAAAAGACAAAACCGAAAAGGATTTGGTAATGTGAGTTAAACACTCAAGCATTACCTATCACATTTTCCTTTAATTATGATTATGGCTTGAGAGGTGAATGATACACTTTAGCCTGAGTCAATTCTTCTGAACATCCACTTAGAGTTCTTTCATAGTAAATAAGCAGGGAATACCACATTTTTAATTAGTTCCCTAAATGGCTTTTTCTTTTTTCCTAGTACTGGAGACAGAACTACAACCCCAGCCATGTAGTTTTTGTTATTTTTGGTTTTTGGTTTGGTTTGGTTTGGTTTGGTTTGGTTTTTCTGAGACAAGGTCTCTACCTTTAGGCTGGCTTTGAACTCATTATGTAGTCCAAACTGGCCTCAAACTCGCATGGACCCTCCTGCCTCAGCGACCCAAAGTGCTAGGATTACACTGTTTTTGTTTTTTTCTTATTTTAAAACAACGTCTTGCTAAATCACTAAATGACCCAGGCTGGGCTTAAATTTGCAATCCTGCCTTAGCCTCCCATACTGCTAGGATTACAACTGTGAATCACGACACCTGGCTTACATATGCGATTCTTTACAAGAAGTTTTTCACATGGCTTAAAATATTCCTGGAATTAAATGTTTCACTATCTCACTGTACAGAACATCTGGACATAAAAAGTGTAACATTATAAATAGCTAGAAAATCATAGATCTGTAATAAATGACCATTACCAAACACGAACTTCTTCCATCACTTGCATACTTGGGCTAAATTAAAATGGCCATAATCCAGTTAGACCTGGCAGCTGGAGGAGGAATTAAAGCCTTGTGAGTAAGAATACAAACTCTGAGCTGGGAATGGTGTGGCAAGCCTACAATACCAGCACTCAGCGAGGCTGAGACAGGAGGATCTCAAATTTCAGTCCCATCTGGGCCATTTAGCAAGACTCTATCTCAAAATCAAAACCAAAAATGGACTGGAGGTATAGCTCAGTACAAAAGCCCTGGGTTCAATCACCAGTACCATCAAAACAAAACAACAACAACAAAAAAAAACCGTTGGATGGGTACAAAGGCATATGCCAGTAATCTCTGCTACTCAGGAACCTAAGGCAGTAAGATCCCAAATTCCAACCCACCCTAGGCAATTTAGCAATTTAGCCAGACCCTGTCTCAAAATTTTACAAATCAAATTTAATTTTAAAAGTTGAGACACACAGTTCAGGGCAAAGGCCCTGAGCTCAATCCCCAGTATGAAAAAAAATATAAAAAGAACTTTGGTACCATGACTGGGTTCAATTCCAGCTCCACTAACTACAAACTGTAGAGCCTGGGTAACATTCTTTGATTTCTCTGTGCCTCGGCTTCCTCCTCATCTGTAAAGTGGGGAAAACCATGTAGTACCGATAGGTCTCTGAAGATTAAATCAATACTATATAGGTAAAACAATAAGCACTCAACTTCAGTTATGGTTACTACTATTATGGGCAGAATTTACAAAAATTTCAGACCAGTGAGAAAAAGTGACCCTGGCATAAAACGGATTATTACATCACAAAATATATACATAATTTCTTTCCTGAAAGAAAGGAAGATCAGTCAGGTGTGGTGGCCTCAGGGCACTCAGGTTGCTCAGACAGGAGAATCACTTGAGTCTAATAGTTCAAGGCCAACCTGGGCAATACAGTGAGACTCTGTCTCAAAAAACTGTTAAGAAAAAAGAAAGAAGAAAGAAAGAAAACAAGCTGGGCATGGTAGCACATGCCTGTAATCCCAGCACTCAGGAGGCTGAGGCAGGAGGATTGACGCAAGTTCAAAGCCAGCGTGGACTACATAGTGAGTTTAAGGCCAGCCTGAACTACACAGTGAGACCCTGTCTCAAAAAAAGAGAAAACAAAGAAAATAACCATTTGAGACAGGGTCTTACTTACAGTTTAAATGTAGACTTTGTGATGTTTAGTAAACTCAGGAAGTCATATTTAACTCTCAGGTATGCCATTCATGTACACCTATGAACATGAGCACGTAATAATAACCAGCCAACAAGTTGCACTAGGTATCTCTTGGACAGGCTCAATACCCGGTAAATAAAGGTTACAGTTGCACCAGTTAACACAAATTCAAAAGGAAAGTCACAACTTTTACAGAACTAAGGATCCATAAGAGCTACGTTGCAGGTGGTGGCACAGGCCTGTAAACCCAGTTTTTGAGAAGATGAGGCAGGAGGATCGTCCCGAGTTAGGGACCGACCTGAGCCACATAGCAAGATCCTGTCTCAAAAAGCAAAAAGTCAAAGAACTATATTTTTCCCTAGGTAAGGAAACCATCATCATCTACTACTGCTTGTTAATGCATAAAAATAGGCATATTCTCAAATTCTACATTCTAAAGTGCTCTGAAAACACACCTAATAATACCATCCTAAAGCAAACTATTAATTGTAATCCACGCTCTCTGTAATTTTATTGTGCAACTCGGCATCAAGGATGCATCTCAGGGTAGAAAAATTACTTAATTCCCTTTACAGGATGAAAAGTCAAATATCAAACTGCCTGAAAAGGAAGCCAGCCACCTATGTAAAAGTGATACACACTTCATATTAACTACCCAAATTGGACACTATCAAAAGCAAATCAGAAACTCGTGAAAAACAGCCTCAAGCTAACTGGTTGATTGGTCAGAGGCAGTCTGCCAGGCACAGCTACTCTAGCGATAAATCTCACGAATCCAGGTTAACCCATTCCCCATCCTTCACGGGATAATTTTTTTAGAAAACAGGGTCTACTTTCTACTTGAAATTGGCCCATAAAGCCGGACTTCACCTGAAATAGTGCTCTGGGATCCTCTACAAGCATAATCCGGGGTTAGTATCACCCACCTAGGGTAAATCCGAGGACATCCTCCAGGATTTTGGAGTAAAGAAATCTAGACAACTGGCAAGATGACACCTTCCTCCAAAAAAATAAATAAGTAAATAACGATCTTCTCCAGGAGCTGCGGGTGGCGGGGTAATCCCTCAGAACCTGAGGACTTCTCCACCAGTCTAAATGCCAGTAAATCATCCCAGGATCTCACACCCTCCCGCCCGCGCGTCCGCCCTTCCCCCTCTCCCAGCCCTCCCCCTCTTCTACACGCAGTTTCTGGGCCCAAGGATTAGGAAGAATGACCAGGTTACCAATCGCCGCCTCTGTCTTCTGGGTCTCAAGGATACAGGCAAGCAAATAATAAACAGAGGAGGCCAACCAAGCCTACCGGTAAAGGGAGCGTGGAAAATGCACCCTAACCACAGGCCGCGCCCCCCCATCACCCCCCCCCGTTGGAACCTCCCAGCGAAATTCCGAAACCCTTCTCACCTAAAGAGAAAAATGGTGCCTCTTTCCGCTAAGCAACACTTAGGCCTAACCCACCACGCAAAAGTGTTCCCAAACGCTCGATGCAGAGGTGCCTAGGCCAGATCGTTGAGGCCCATGAAAAGGGGTTGCATTTTACCTCATGGGCTCAGCGGTCATGTTTTCGCTTGAACGCCTTGTTGGCTTCTGCGACACTTGCGCGCCGATATGCGCGCCTCTGCACCCGATTACGATAGAAATGCACTGGAGTCTTAGCAGTCACTGTAGCTGGTGCTGGATCCTCCCCACAGCTCAAAGGCCGCTACCACTGTCACCGCCGCAGGAGCCGCGGAAACAAAGCGACGCCGCCACCGCCGCCATTTTGTAGGGCCGAGGCTAAAGCAGGAGAATTGGCGCGTCCTCCCTCTTCTTCTTTCCGCCATCCATTGGCTAACTCTGCCACAGCGTGGATTCTTATTGGCTATGGAAATTTACCTTCTGTGGGGGCCTGTTGCTAAGGCGGTCGACGTCATTTGATTCCCTCCACCTTTTCGCAGGGGATCCAATTCAGTCTCACTTGACCTGATTCTATTAGTGACGTATTTTGACTGAAAATGCCCCTTTGGTCCATCTTCTCTTCTTTGATGCAATTGACGAAACTATAACAGCAATTTACGTTTATTGAGAATCTACTATACACCAGACACCACATTAGTCCTTTATCTGAATTATCTCATGCAATCCTTAAACCCTCTGAAGTCGACACACCTACGTTTTCTGGATGAAGAAACCAAGACAGAAAGTTCCAAAGTAGTGGAGTCGCTAGTCTGAACAAACAGGGCACTATTAACACTAATCTATGTGGCCACCCTGTATATTTTCATTATTCCAGGTCATTACTGATTTATTTCCTAGATGTTTTATATATAATATTCAGCATGCCAACACACTCAAATATGTGTATATACACTTATGTGCATACATCATAAAACCAACTTGAGATTTACGTAAAACTCTTTTGATATTGAATAAACTCTAAACAGACACTTGGAATGCACACACACATTGGCCATTTCCTAGTCTGATAGGATGCCTAGCTCACAAACTCATCTAGATCTTTTTCCTCCTCATTACTGAGGAGGTTTGCTTCAATGATGGCCCAAATACTTCCAACTTTCATGTTCTTAGATTCTTCACTGGTAATGTGTGCAAATCACAAGTCAAATCTCTAAAATCAAAGAGCCCTACATGGTGGTGGACACCTGTAATAATCGCAGCACTTAGGAGGCTGAGACAAGAGGATTGGCTAAGTTTAAGGCTAGCCTGGGCTACATAGTTCAACGCCAGCCTAAACTACATAGACACAACCTGTCTCAAAATTAAATTATTCTCAGTTTTATTTCCAAATTTATTCTGCTATGTGTGCATATTCATTATAATTATTTTCTTTTCCAATTTAATTTTTTAAAGTTTTTGTAAATGCATATAACATGTTTTAATCAAACCTATTCTCCCTATCACCCTCACTGTTATTCATTTTTCTTAAAATGTGAAAGAACTGTCGGGCGTGGTGGCGCACGCCTGTAATCCCAGCACTCAGGAGACTGAGGCAGGAGGATCCTTGGGAGTGCGAGGCCAGCCTGGGCTACAAAGTGAGCTCAAGGCCAGCCTGAACTGCATAGCTAGACCCTGTTTTATTTTTTGTTTGTTTGTTTGGGTTGTTTTTTGTTTTTTGTTTTTCCCCGCCCCCGGTACCGGGAATCGGACTCACGACCTTGCGATTGCCAGGCAGGCGCTGTGCTGCTGAGCTAAATCTCCAGCCCCACGAGACCCTGTTTTAACAAGACAAAGGAAAAAGTGAAAGAACTGTCTGTTGGGTAACATGGTTGCTACTTTCTACTTGAATAGCTACAGACAAACCACTGGCAAATAGAGCTTTCTGATAATCTGATAGACTTAGGCAACTTTGTTTTCTTTGTTTGTCTCACTATGCAGTTTCAGGCTGGCCTTGAGCTCACTTTGTAGCCCAGGCTGGTCTCGAACTCGCAACAATCCTCCTCCCTCAGCCTCCCAAGTGCTAGGATTACAGGCATGTGCCACTATGCCCGGCTCAGGCAACCTTTTAATAAACAGCAGCTTGTATACATTTCAAATCATCTTTCAAATATTCAAGATCCATTGCCAACTGTAGAAACCAGATTCACAAAACCTTCTGAATCTTTTGTATTGATTTTCTTTTTGTCTTCCACACATTAAATATTACTGAGGGCTGGGGATACAGCTCAGTGGCACAAGTGCCTGCCTGGCAAGCGTAGGGTCCTGAGTTCAATTACCGGTACAAAAAAAAAAAAA